GTTCTTTCACAACTAATTTGAGCATCTCCTCGCTAACATGTATTGCTTTTCCAAGTCACTAATGACTGAGCTCAGCATTGGATCAAATATAGCATTTCTATAGTATCTGTCAGGTGTCAAATATGGAGAATTGTTTCAATGAGTTTGCCTGTGAATCACCCTTGAGACTATGATAGGACGGCCCGGCATGCCATTACGGTCAAATAAGCTTTATACAAACCGATGTTACTCACAACATATATTATCATTGTTGTCAGTAAATATTGAAGTTTAAACTTATTTAAGAAAGAACCATTACGGTCAAATAAGCTTTATACTAACCGATGTTACTCACAACATATACGTTTTTCACTGTTTCAAATATATATTTTTTAAAACGAACAGTAAACTTAGAACGTTATTTTACCTTAGAATAAAACAGAATAAGCTTAAACTAGTATCTATCTTATTTAATTACCAACACTTAGGCTGTTTTATAACCTTTTATCTTATATATTTAGGGCCAGCATGACCAGGTGGTTAGGGAGCTCGACTCGCAATCTGCGGGTCACGGGTTCGAATCTCTGTCACACCAAACATGCTCACCCTTTCAGCCGTGGGGGCGTTATAATGTGACGGTCAATCCCACTATTCGTGGGTAAAAGAGTAGCCCAAGAGTTGGCGGTGGGTGGTGATGACTAGCTGCTTTCCCTCTAGTCTTACACTGCTAAATTAGGGACGGCTAGCGCAGATAGCCCTCGTGACATAAACCAACTGTAGAAAATTGTGTGGATGCTACCTAGTTCGAGAAAAAGTGTGGTAACCAGGCACTGTATTAAATTATTTGGCATGAATTCATGATCACCTCAGGATACTGCACCATGAGAAAGTTAAGGAACAGTAGAGTGGATACAAAGGTCAAGCTGAACTCTGCTTACTATAATACCAATGTTATTGATCCTCTGTATCACACACAAGTACAGACTTTTTACAGAAACAAAGTCAACAGAATATCGGTTCACCAAGATAAGGCTTCAACTTTCACATACCTCAAGTAGCCAAATAATGAAATGGGTATTCATCGTAATCAATATGAAGGCATGTCGGTCAAGTAAGCCGCCGGACACAGCACCTATAAGTCTCTACATGACAAGACTGTTGAAATGGCCACTGGTAAACCACTGTCCTCAAACAGTAGATGGATTAAGGATAGTATGCAGGGAGGAATGGTGTGCTTTACACATACAGCCTTATGAGGAAACCTTTTGAAATAAAACTACACTGCAGGGCTATAGTCAAGATACACAGTTGTCAGATAGAGCATGAAGGAGTGGTAACGTGGATTATAATGATGTGGTGATGCTCCTAATTTGTTTTCATATAACCTAATCAATCCTCTCTATACAGAGAATACCTGTGACATGTTATATTTTACTTCTTATGAAAATCTTAACAACTATCTATAAGATTATCAGAAAAATTGATGCTAAACTTTTGGCTAATTCAAAACAATTGGAAAATAAACAACTTGCTTACACTGCCTTTACACTTTAGCACTTTAGTTTAAAAAATGCTCTAACAATGACAGCTCCTTTCATGATATTTATTTCATGAAAATTGTTGTGTAGGAGATACAATGTAGACAGTGCCCTGCTACATATACTGGAGAAATATGGCATCCCTTACATGAAAAACTTTGTGAACACATTCAAGGTATAAATATCCTGCAAAGGGAGCCACAGCTGAATATTCTATATAATAGCGTGGGATATATACAGGACAACCATTTAAACTACAAATGTTAACTACACGTGAGAACTATCTAGATCCAGATAGAAAATATAAAGAGGCTCTTTTGATTAGACTGGAAAACAAAAAATTTGCTTCTGGTGAAAACTCAAGTGCTTTGGGGTAATTTGATGGTACTGATTTCAAAAATGTAGTCAGAATTTGTACACTGCCTCTAGATTTTGAGTTATTGTAATATCTCAATATTTTATCAGCACAATGTGAAATACCATGCAGTCAACTCAGTACAACAGATTTATAATGTAAAATTAAGCTTATTTGGACAGTTTAATGGGTAAAGGCATACATTTTTGATAACTTCAAACATTCATTGTATTATATTGGTGTAAAATTCCAAGTATATTGTTCATATATCCTATTTGTTCTGTTTATAATTGTAGTGAGTTGCACAACTTTTGCTTTATTCACTTGCTCACCTGCTCTGTCCAGAAATCACAAAACCTCATGTGCTTAGTTTGCTGGAACATTTGAGAAGTCCCTCGACTGAGCATAAAAAAGGGGGAGTCAGACTCCTCTCTCTTAGTTGCCTTTCACTTACTCAACTGGTCACTTCACCTCGCTCCACACACAGTCAAAACAAAGTCCAATCTTCTTCCTCACATCATACCTGCAGTATAATAAAATTCTGCAACAAAACCTTTTAAACTCTGATTCTGTAAACATAAATTCGCTTATATTTTTTAGAAAATCATTTGAAATGTTGGATGCCTCTAGTTCAAGTAAAGTCTCAAAGTGCAAAAACCACCTAAACAGTTTCTGCTACATTTGTGGCAAATATATTACAGTTTTATGAAGGAAAACCATCACACACAAGGGAAAGGTAGTGTATTACCACTATTTTGGGTGTAAAATTTGTGACCAAGAAAAACATTGGGCTCCACATGTGTGTTGTACAGTTTGTGCATCTACTCTACACTATGTCCCGTGTTTACTGATATACATTGTAAACGTTAAACATCTGACCTGTCCTTCTACTGATAAACATTGTAAATGTTAAACATCTGGCCTGTACTTCTAATGATAAACATTATAAGCATTAAATGTCTGACCTGTCCTTCTAATGATAAACATTATAAGCATTAAATGTCTGACCTGTCCTTCTACTGATAAACATTACAAGCGTTGAACACCTGACCTGTCCTTCTACTGATAAACATTACAAGCGTTGAACACCTGACCTGTCCTTCTACTGATAAACATTATAAACATTAAGTGTCTGACCTGTCTTCTACTGATAAACATTATAAGCGTTGAACACCTGACCTGTCCTTCTACTGATTAACAATATAGGTGTTAAGCATCTACTGATAAACATTGTAAACGTTAAACATCTGCCCTGTCCTTCTACTGATAAACATTGTAAATGTTAAACATCTGACCTGTCCTTCAACTGATAAATATTATAAGTGTTAAGCATCTACTGATAAACATTGTAAACGTTTAAAATCTGGTCAATCCTTCTAATGATAAACATTATAAACGTTGAACATCTGACCTGACCTTCTACTGATAAACATTAAAGAAAAGTTACTTTCACAATACATAAGAATATGTTGAATAAATCTATCATAACTCAAAAACTAGAGGTGGTCAGTAATTTTCAACAGTATTTTTAGAATCAGTATAATCAACTTACTCAAAAACAATTGCATTTGTCTTTAAAAGCAGAGAAAACATTTTTTATTGCTTGGTGTCATTAGAGTGCTTGAAATTAAGCATCCAAAATTATTAAGAAAACATTTCAAATTGTTATAATAATAAAGTAAAAAGACAAAACAAAGGAACTAATTAGGATTTCAACATCAACTGTAGCATGTATTAGTTCCTATCTATTAATTATATCTATATTCATAAATCAACAAAGATATATAGAAATAATGTTATCCAACCTCTACTACATTTCATATAAGTAGCACTGAACTTTGTTTTGACTATGCGAGGAGCGAAGTGACCAACTGAGTGAGTGAGAAGCAACTGAGATAGAGGCATCTGACTCCACCCCTTTTATTCTCTGTCAGTAGACTTCTCGAATGTTCTAGCAAACTGAGCACATGAGGATTTCGTGATTCTCAGGCAGAGCAGATGAGCATGGGAATGAAGCAAAAGTGGAGCAATTTGTTACAATTATATCAAGAACAAATAGCATATGTGAACAATATACTTGTAATTTTACACCAATATAATACAATGAATGTTTGAAGTTATCAGAAAGGCCTGACATGGCCAGGTGGTTAGAGCGCTCGACTCGCAAGCTGAGGGTCGCGGGTTTGAATCCCCGTCACACCAAACATGCTCACCCTTTCAGACGTGAGGGCGTTATAAAGTGACGGTCAATCCCACTATTCGTTGGTAAAAGAGTAGCCCAAGAGTTGGCGGTGGGTGGTGATGACTAGCTGTCTTCCCTCTATTCTTACACTGCTAAATTAGGGACGGCTAGCACAGATAGCTCTTGTGTAGCTTTGCAGGAAATTCCAAACAAACAAACAGTTATCAGAAATGTATGCTTTTTACCCATTAAACTGTCCAAGTAAACTTAATTTCACAGCATAAATCTATTGTACTGAGTTGATTGTAAGGTATGTTACATAGTGCTGATAAAATATTCAGATATTACAATAACTCAAACTCTAGAGGTGGCGAACCAATTCTTACTACATTTTCGAAATCAGCGCCAACAAATTACCCGGAATCACTTGAGTTTTCTCTAGTAGCAAATTTTTCGTTGTCCAGTGTGATTAAAAGTCACTGTTTAAATGCTGAAAGCTGGCTAAGTATTGAAAACCATTTCATTGTGATAAAATCACATAAACTGCACGTTTCTCTTAAATTTGGCCATTTAGGATTGCAAATCAGAGGTGTGTAAAAATAGCATTTTAGATTTCTTTTTGTTGTAGTTGTTGTTTTCTTAAAACCACTGCCTTTATTACAGTAACAGAACTTGTCAGTTGGGCACTAATTAATGAGGCACAAAAGCTTTTACTATATAAAACATTGTGAGGTGGCCTGTCAGCTAAAATAATTTGTAAAGGTCACGTGCTCTATTGTGGAATATAAATGTATTTAATTCTATTTGGGATTTATATAACAAAGTTTTGACTTAATGGTCAAATTTGTACTTTAATATTTAATATTGCTATATTAATTATGAACTATTTTTTGGTCTGCCTTTCAATGTCTGAATGTTTTTGTTTTATTTTTTTACAAAAAAAAAGAAAGCATCTACAAACTTCCAGATGATGATAGCAGATTCTACGCTGTCTTCACAACATCTATGTAAGTCTTACAGATAAAACAGAATTAAATTTATGTTTTATTCTAATCATTCTAATTTTAAAACTTGTTATTTGATTGTTTGAACTGAAAATTTCTCAGCTGAGTGAGCTACTTTGTTAATACCTGACTATTATAGGTTGATAACATTTTAAAAAATTGTTTGCTCGTTTTGCCTACAGACAGTAATTATCCATTAGCATTCATAAATATCAGCTGAGAAATAAAGTATAGCCAATTTTCTTTTGACCAGAACTTAATTTTTGTTTCCCAACCTGGTCATTGAAGATCACTTTTGTTGAGAGAAATTGTAGTTACTGTGCAAATATATATTGATTAAGATATTTGAATTATAACTTTGAAAATTTGTGGCAATATTTTGTTTCATTTTCTGTTTCCCAGGAAGCTTTAAATATTTATATGGAACACATTTTCTCTATAATATGTATTTGAATGGAAGTTTATTTAATTAGCTATACACATTACTATGTTGATTTTTAGTTTAACTCTAAGTAGGCAGCTTGTTCTGATCAGCAGTTAATATTGTTTTAAATTATATTTTTAATGTTATAATTTGTTTGTTAGTTAGCGGGAGCTGTGGGTTTGACAATATTAAGGTTATATATGCCTGGAGCAGTTAGAAAGTTCTAAAGATTTGACGTTTTCTAGTAAATACGAGGGTAGATTATAAGCACAAGATAATCAAGTATATAATTAAGAAGATAGTATAGTTTTTCTAGTCATAGTGAATCAGTTAGTGCATTCTCCTTCATAGAGAATTATTTGGTCCATATTAGCTATCGCATATATTAGGTTACTTAGTTCAAGTAAGTATGATTTTTATGTTAGTGTAGTACAGTTAGTGTGCCTGTAAATGTGTCCTACAACATACCACAGTATCTAAACTTGTAGAAACGTTAAAGAAGGAAATAAACTAATTAGTTATCATTATTTAGACTGGCTTTAATTATTTTGAGCAGATAATTTAATATAGTCCATCAACAAAACAACAATGTTACAATTTATGTCAGAAGTGGGATTATTTTGGTTCAAATACAACAGAACATTCTAAATACATTTGAAGTTGAACTTCAACTCTGAAGATGGTGACCATAAGGTGAAGGACTAAGAGCAAAACATTATATGAGATAATGTAAATATTAAAACAAAACCTTGAGGAATCAGACAATATTTAAAGAAGACCAAGACAAAATTTACAAAAGGTAAGAGGCAGGGTTTTAAGAGAGGAGTTAAAAGAAAGAGATGTACTGTTTCAAAAATAATTCTTATTGGAGACAAGATCAATGGAACTACTGGAGATGTACAGACATATTACAACAACAATATTGAAGAGGTATGGAAAGGTTGTAATGACAAAATTGAAGAGATACAGAAAGGCTGCAATAAATATATTAATGAGGTAAAAAACTTCAGTGACAAAGTAAAACATCTGGAAAATGAAGTATTAAATGGAAAGAGTAAACCAGCTACACCTCTTTCTGTATCCGTGCAGGAGTTCCAGTGGGGAATGGCGTCTGCCATGAAATTTGGAATAGAACTTATCTGTTCTACATTTATTACCATTTGTTACTGATAGACTTTCATGGACTACTCCAGCCATGACAATACCAAATCCGGTTTCAGAATTTAGTTGACCAACTCAATATCGGCCAATAGAGAAAAACCAAGGGACTATGATGGAAAGGTGCCAAAGAAGTCATACCAGGCTTAGTTTGAAATAATGTCTAGAGTGAATGGGTGGAATAGTGAATAATAATCAGTACAGCTTGCTGCCCAGTTAAAAGGACTGATAACATTAATTAACCTTCCAGCTGAGAGCCATAACAATTATCTAGCATTAGTAGCCACCTTATCCAACAGGTTTGGAGTGTCACACCAGAAAGAAATATCCAAAGCAAAGTTCCAGAATAGGGTATGGAAGGAAGAAGAGACCTTGACTAAACTTGCATAAGATATGAAAAAGCATGCTAAATTATCTCACCTTAATGCTACTCATGAAAAGACGGATTCTATGGCACATTGCCAATTTATAGACACCATAAAAGACAAGGATATGAGAATCAGGCTGAAGTAAAGCAGGTTTACATCCTTTAAGGAAACTATGTAGTTGGCGATGGGACTAGAATCCATTAAAGTCGTACATAAATGACTAAAAATGAGGTAAGAATTTTTTTTGTTTAAACAAACAAGTCCACAAATCCATGGATTTATTGATAGAAAACTTTGCGCTATGTTGAATGATATTGGTTCTAAAGTTACAATAGTTTGACCTGATTTGATGATATAAAGTGGGAACTGCCTCCAGATATGAAGAAAGAAGTAGGAATGGCGCAAAATAGCAAGTGGACGTAAGATTCCAGCAAGAGGAAAGTTAGAAGTTCCCTCATTGTAGGAAACTTCTCTATACCTTCTAATGTGTGGGTAATTGACATTGAAAAAGAATGCATATGGGGAACTTACTTCATGCAGAGACATGGATACAAGCTTTGGCTAGCTTTAAATAGCTTCTTAGTCTACGAAATCCCTGTGCACTACATTACAATTAATACAACAGAGGTCAAACTCCCCATAAAAATACAGAGAGTGGGCATTGTATACCACCAAAAAGGAAAATACTTACACCAGAACTTGTTTAAAATATATTTACATCAAATTACGGGGCCATAGTAGAACTAAACACTTCAGTATGTCTAAATGGGTTAATGGTTGCTAGAACTCTCCTGGATCTGTAGAATAAAGATATCATTAGAGCCATGAACAAAAAATGAACTGTGAAGGTCTTACAACTAATCACTGCCAATTTTTTCATAACTTCCTCACAGAATATTAAGACACCTTCTGTAGTGGATCTTATGACTTAGGTCAAACAAGTAAAAATCTTACAAGATTGACACTAGAAATGCAGCTCCATTACGTAAGTTAGCCAGATGACTTCCATTTTTAAAACAGGCTAAAACTCTCAAAGAGATAGAAGCCAGGGAAGAACATAGAATGAAAAAACTGAGTACGATCTATTGTACATCACTTACTGTACGTGTGAAGAAGAAGAATGGATCCACTAGGTTCTGCATGGAATACCAGAAGGTAAATTAAGTTACAATTAAGGATGCTTACTCACTACCAAGGATTGATTCTACTTCGGATTCTCTATCTGGATCAATATTTTTTCAACATTGGATCTTAAGAGAATATGTTGGCAAGTGCATGGCAACAAAGCAAGTAGAGAGAAGACAACATTTACTCTAGGAAATATATTTTAGAAATTTGTTGTTTTACCATTTACATTATGTAGTTCTTCTACATTTTGATGATTAATGAAGTATGTTCTGTCTGACATACTTTGTACTCATCTACATGAGTGACATAAATATACATGGGAAGACCTTTGAATGATTATGAAGAGCTAAGGAATGTTCTGTATCAGATGAGAAAAGAGTACCTTAAACTGAATTTTAAGAAGTGTGAATTATTCCATCAATAAGAGAATTTACTGGGACACAGTCAGCAGAGAAGTGTCTATAGGATTGACTCCGAGAAAAGAGGATTTCTTGAACTGTACACTTACTGTCGATGTTTTGTAAAATCTTTCTCTGACATAGCTAATCATGTAGACAAGTTACTTGTAAAGACAAATAAGTTTATTGGACTGCTGGTTGTGAAGAATTCAACACACTGAAGAAGGAATTGACCATTACTCCACTCATTTTTGATACAAATACCAATGATTTTGCAGTAGGAACTGTTTTGTCACAATGACAACACAGAAAGACCATGTGATTGCTTACTATATCATGGTGATTAATGCTGCAGAAACTCCTTGCACAACCTGAAAAAAGTTACTAAGCGTTGTTTGAACCTTGAGTTACTTCCATCAATATTTATATGTTTATGCTCTAGACAAATCAAGCATCATTAAAGTGTCTGGCAAATTTTCACAGTCCAAAAGGTGAAACAGCAAGATAGCTTTATGAGTAGAGTTTTAACATTGTGCATTGCCCCGGATGGAACCGTCATCTCAAAGACCATGTGTTAATTAAAGTTTTAAATACTGTAAGAAGAGGGAAGCACAGGATAGAAAAACTATAACCTAAAGTACAGCAAAGTGTAATCCAAAATGTATCATCCAAGAGTGATTATGAAGAACTTATCAAGTCCAACACTCATTTGAAAAATGCTTAAGCTAAAGAAACAAGTATGAAACCAACTATTCAGTGTTCAAGAATACTACAGAAAGACTCTCATGGCAAATAGTCTCACCATAAAGCCTGAAAGAAAATAGGTACTGGGAAAAGTGTGATTATAAGAGGGTTTATTGTATTGGAAATGGGAAGATACCAGAGTATAGAAACAACAGTTGGTACTTCTCCAGTCCCTACATTTTGAAATGCTCCATCATCTTCACAACCTTCCAATGACTGGAGCAAATAAAAGAATGCTTCTATTGTGTTGAGTACTAGAGCTGTGTGGAGAATTGGTGTAAAACATGTGATCTTTCCTGTGAGTAAAAAAGTCCATGAAAGAAAGAGCATGGGAAACTGCAGCAGTATCATGTTGGCCCCCTGCTACAAAGTAACTGTGGGAATAGGTACATCATGGTTGTGATGGACTATTTCACCAACTGGTCAGTAGCATGTGCTATTCCTAACCAAGAAGCAGAAACTCTATCAGGAAAACTCATTGATGAATTTGTCTCAAGATTTATTATGCTTATGGAACTTCACTCACATCAGGGATGGAACTTTGAATTAAAAGTCACTATGATGTTAATGCTGATAAGACTGGATTTTATCAAGGTACCATGGTATAGCTGTACAATCCCCACTGCAAGAAAGGATGAACTTCAAAGCTAAGCTGGCACTAAGAGGAGACCATATGCTGTAATGAAAGGAATCAATGATGTAGTTTACAGAATACAGAAGGATAGACAATCCAAGCCAAAGGTCATCCATTGGGCTTGTCTTCAGAAGTACATTGATGAGAGAAAGGCCAAATGGGTAATTCCAGAGAAGAATTTGTCAGTATAACCTCAACCTTTGGAGGAGTCCAGAGTTCCTGCTGAGACTACTTCACTTTACCACCTACCAGGAAGAATTTCCCCAGCAACAGGATAGCCAGTAACAACAAGGGACAAGATTTTAATCCATCTTGATACCATGGCCTTGGAAGAAAAAGCCACTTCAAAGACCTGGTGAATGGACAGTTTAATGTAGTGTTTTTGTCATTATATTATGGTTGTTCTGTGTACTTCACAATCCAAGAAGGGCACAGAACTTTTAAGCTATATTTTAATGTTGTGATTTGTTTGTTATCCAGAGGTCGCTGTGAGTTGTAATGATTATGTTAAGATCAGGTAGGCCCAGGACACCTAGAAAGTTCTAAAAGACTTGATGCCAAATTTTCTTGTAAATTCAAGGGTAAATTATAAATAGAAAATAGTAAAGTATTTCTAACTGTGTTAGTTATAATGCATATTTAGTTACTTTGTACAATTAAGTTGATTTTTGTGTTAGTATAGTACAGTTAGCATGGAGGTAAGCATTGTCTACAACTTACCACAGTGTTTAAGCTTGTAAAAATGTTAAAGGAGAAAATAAAATAATTTGTTATAGTTGCACCAGATACTTTAAAAGAACTTGCCAATGAAAGAACAATGTTACAACAATATTAATTCATTGTATTACTTAGTAGAATAATTCTTTATCTAAAATATTCTTTGCTGTCCATAGAAATGTATTAAGGTAAAAATCTGATTCTGGTTCATTTTATAGCACATTACATATTATGCTTCAGAGAAATTTATGAATTAAAAATAAAATACCTTTTGATGACCATTTTCTGCTTATCTATTTATAATATGAATTCTTGTTTAATTCAGTCAGCTTAACTGTCTAAACTTTGTGTCAGTGTTAAATATACATAACTGTCAATTTTAAGTTTAATACAAGAGTATTGTTTAGTTTATATTGTGTGAGCATTAAAGTACATTATTTTTAGAAGGGATAGTTATGCCAAGTTTGCTAATATAACTGTTTATGAATTATTTGTTGCATAGTTAAGTTATGAATTGATGTCATGTTACACAAACCTTCTGAATTTTTCTCATTGCTTTAAGTGAGTATTGTTACATCATAGCATCTTGTAGTTTGTAGAAAGTTCTAGGCCTCAATCTGGCAATACATGTATATATATATAGGCAACCAAGTTAGTGCAAGTTAATTAGTGAAGGTGTAGTTAGACTGCATATGAATTAGCTGTAAAATGCAATTTCTAAAGTGAGTTTCACAGCTTGTATTGTAATAACAGAGATAGAGGAGAATAATTTGTTATCTCAAAGGGTAAGGTTGTTCTAAAGTAATTGAACCCACCTGCATGGACTTTGATGAAAAGGAGACAGTTATTTAAAGCTCTAGATACAACTGTGATTACCAATAGAGTAAAAAAATTTTGTTTGACTGGTTTTGAATATATTATTTTTAAACAAGTGGACCATCTATTGCTGAAATTTATCACCAACAAGTCACAGACACCTACTGTAAAAAATCCAGCCCTATAAAACTCTGATAGTCAGCTCTAAGTAAAAGCTATATTATTTTTGTACTGGTAAGATATGATAATTGTCTGACCAGTTTTAACAGTATAATATACAAATTTAAAAAGATTATAAGTTTTCCTTCATGAAACTGAATTTATGAAATTGTCATTTCTGTATCTTATCAGTTTAGTGATTTAGTATTTAAATTTTAGACACATTAATGGTAATTTTTTTTATTTTATTAGTATGATAATTTATGCATGGGTTATGATAGCAAAATCTTGTTTGTCTATAACAAAACTTGAGGTAAAGTCATCAAGTTCTCAATATATTTGTTCTAGGAATGGGCTAATGGGGTCAGCCATATGCACCTTTAGCCTGGAGTCCATACAGGAAGTTTTCAACGGAAAGTTCAAGGAACAGGCCACATCCTTCTCAGCTTGGTTGCCAGTATTGACCAGTAAAGTACCAGAACCTCGTCCGGGGCTGTGTGTCAATGACACCCAGACTCTTCCAGACTCTGTCTTGACCTTCATTCAAGGCCATCCTCTCATGGATTCTGCTGTTGCCCATGACAATGGAAAACCAGTATTCTACAAGCGTGATGTTATTTTGACCAGTTTAGTGGTAAACAAGCTGGAAGTGGATGGAGTCTCCTATACTATCTATTATGCTGGCTCTAGTATGTAGTTATTTCACCTTGAGCCTGTGTCATACATCTATATGCTGTGAACCTTAGAACTGAGATCTTCTGATATTATATTTGATGTTTGAAGTTTAGATATCATTTCACTGTCTGTTTTGTTATGTTCTTGTGCTCCAATTTCTGAGCTAAGTTCATCATTTGAATGTAAGATGAGATATGTTACTTTTGAGAATAATTTGTAAAAACATTCAGACTTCATTCAGTCTGCTTATATTTACTTTTATAGGCACTAACAAAAATATTCACTATTTCATTCAGTCCTTAATTTGGTATATGAGGCTGTTATTCAGCTACTATCAAAAACTGAAAAATATCTTACCTAGAAAATGCTTGAAACCCATGATTGACTGCTTTGATATGCAGGTAAAAAAATGTGTAATGAAGATTAAACTTTTTCCAACATCACATTTAGCAAATTTATTTTTTGCATGTAAAACCTTATGTAATTCTAAATCTTAGGCAGACTACTGCATTAAAAATAGGCAACAAGTGATTTCTATGATACTGTTTTAAATCTTCTTCCTGTTAGTTTATGAATTTCACTGTTTATGCCACACACTTGATATATGCTCACAAAACTGATGAAGTAGTTTTGTTTATTGCTAGTAGAATTACAGAAGCAATAGGCTGTTATGTACATTCAGAAAGACTGGACTTACTCATTATCTTATTGACTGACTTTGTTTTGATTTGCTAACAGAAGGAGCTTTACTACAGTGTATGAGCTTGAAAGTTATTAAATCTACTTGGTATTATGAATTATAAGATTGCCATCATTTTATTAGGTTATCCTTAATACATCTATATATCAAGAAAAGCAAGAGAGAATTGTATGTATACCCACTTTTATAATTGGGCAAAGGTCATAGTGCAGTATTCCACAATCCTTAGATTACATAAACCAACAGTGATTGCAAATACACATATAGAAGGGGTTAAGGAGAGAACCCAAACTTATACCAACTTGTACAAGTATCTGAGTCATCCCTTGAAATGGACTTAGCTTGCCCCAAAGTGTAGACATTGACACAGAGTCAAACTGGTACAAGCTATCATGTGAAGGCCATTGCAATATGTAACCTTTACCCAAGTAAAAGAATCAGTGCATGTTTATGATCTGTCAAAATTTGGTTTACAAAGATGACATAACTACATATAGAACACCTGTATAGAAATTTATAAAACTGCATGAATGCATTTTACTTTCAGACATATCCTATACTATGGAGGGGTATAATATGATGAAACTATTGAGTATCTGCTTGTTTGCTAATTTCCTGTAGAAATTCTTTCTTAGAAACTTTAGTGATACAAGTTCCTTTCTTGATTAAAACTAGTTTATTCTTTC